TTGCTTACACGAAAGCTTCATTCAGATCAGAGAAGGATTCCAGCAGGGACTTTATCTCAACTCTTCAGACTGAAGCTGATATGGCCAGACAGCACAGGAGACACCGGACCTGCATGATGCAACCACTTCTGTGGTTTGTTTTTTATTTGTTCTTTTTTCATACATAGGAAGCGCTGATTGCGACATTAGGTCTCCTATCAAACAAACACGCTAGATAACAATATGTCATAACTAAATGATGACTTGCAAAACTCTTTTTATGTTAAATGATAAACGTTTCTACAAAGCAGTGTTAGTTTTAGCACATGGTTATGAACAGACTCACTGGAAGCTTCTGTGAAGAGGTGGGTTTGATCAGTTTTGATATTAGGGAAGTTAGCAGATGAATGAAGACTGAGAAACATCCATGAATGATCCTGACTGAATTTCGTGTGACTAGGGGATCTGCTAGTCCACAATCAGAGCTGTAATTTCTGTCTACACAAATCTGTACATAAACTTACATAGAACTATAATAAATCCAATAAGATTCAAATGAATGATATTTAAGATATAGTGGATTTTGTCAAAACAACACAAGACTGAATCCTGGAAGAAACTGAAGCATCCCTGTCTGACATCATAGTAAAAATAATCTGAAGGAATCAGTCAGGATTTAAGAAAGTGAGCTGAGAATTTTATCTATTCTGGTTCATTCTTGGATACGATTTCTAGATGCCTAAAGGAGCCATATTGAGAAGGTGCTGGATGATCCTATAGTGTCATTCTACACTGTGGGCTGAAAAGCCACTCAGAGATGAAAAAAAACAACAACACGTTTACATGTATTTACTGTAATAATACTAATAATACTGTAATAATAATAATATCACTTCCAATCTTGACCATTGGCAGTGTTCTTAGGTTTGATAGTCACTCATCACTGTTTGTTCATCTTGTGTGTAATTCCATCTTTACCTTTTCTAACAAAGCAAATTCTCTCCAGACATGATGCTTAAGTTCTTTTTTTGTGGACAGAGACACCTGGAGTTCCACAAATGTTCCTGTTGATGGTGTTTTTGAAACTTTGTGACTTCTGGATTGTTCCTAAATGCTAATCAACTTCCTTCCATTGCAGGCCAACTTTTTTTGTTAGATGGTTGACACAAAGACACAACTGGAGCTTCATCTGAAAGTTTAACCAAATCAGTGGTTAAACATTTGACCATGTATGTGCAATTTTTAGCTCAATTTATTAGTTTTTTGATATTCTTGATGTGCACTGCAGTATTATAAAAATATTGAAAATATTATAAAAAATAAACTTTTTTGAGTTTTACATCATGTTATGTTATTTCCTCTTCAAAAACATACTGGAGCATTGCCTTGATTCTTTCATACATGTTTGAAAAATACTTTCATCTCCCATGGCAACCATTCAACCATTCAGCTGTGCTTTGCAACAGTTTCCAAGCTTCTGGGTTTCCACCTCACAGAGTATCCCTCTACCACAACCCTCCCCTTCCCCCCACTCAGCTCCTTTAGACTAGCCAGCAGCAGTTAGCAAACACATGGTGGACCTGCTTATCTGCTGAGCTCATCATGAGCTACTTCTCAGTGCAACGCTGTTTAAAGGGTTAATAGAGGAGCCATGTTGTGATAAATGCCTGAAGGTGGAGTTTCAGAAAGATCAGGAGTTTTTAAAGTGACAAAGGCCCAGTTTCAAGGTATTAAGTTACAAAATCAAATTTATTTTTCTGTGTCATATTTGACACACAAAGTATTTTTATAACCACTAAATGTAACATCTTATTTGATAATAACTATGACAGTGTTATAAAATGGTACTATGTAGCTGGAAAACACATAGTACTGCTTGTTTATGGTCTTTTGTTCTTGTTGTACTTTGGTTTTAGATCATTTGGGAGTTTTGCTTAATGTCAGTTGTGATTTTACTGTTTTCAACACTGATGTTGTCATGTGAAGGTCTAAAATGTTGCTTTCATCAGCCAACGTTTTATTTAATAAGAACTGTGAGCATTTTAAAAATGATGTTTTGTTTTCCAGTCACTCTATTATCTTCTGGATCTTTGAGGAACCCTTGAAACCTCTGAACCCTTATGGTTCATCTGCCATGCCACCCCAAACCCCAGTCTGCCCACATTCCTCAAAACTACAAAGAAGGCAACATGTCCAATTAAAGAATTGAAGTTTTAATTCGCTCTGCTGGTTTGCTTCGACACACAACAGAGTTGGACATATTAAAGAGCCGCAGCACGATATGTAGTGGAGACCGAGGGAGCTTTCACCGTTTTCCATGCCGACCGTGAATCAGAGAGGGAGAATATTTGTTTGGAAATGTGGAGTTGAGGGTAAGCACTCTGAAGAGGAGGGGAAGCAGTGTCTATTGAAAAATCCACACGATGACACAAACAATTATGAGGAGAATCCAGAACAGAGCCAAGATGGCTCTCTGTGACCTATTTTGGATGTTTCCCCTGGCAGAGCAGCAGCCTGCAGGCCGTGGGATGAATGGTGCATGTTGGGCCTTCAAGCATAGAAAGCATGAAGAGCCTATTACAGCTGCCCAGGTCTTTCAACACCTGCACTGATAGTGAGCAAATGGGAAGAAAACAAGACAGAGGAAAGGCTCTGGTCAGAGATGGACAAGTAGGAAGAATTTAGGCAGGAAAAGAAAGAGAGAAAGTGATGCAGAGAGATGAAGAGGGGGATGGGTGCATAACGGCAGGGTTGTATTTCATCCCTGCATAGTGGACGTCTTAATCAACAGTGTCAGATTTGCTTTCTGGGGGCTGCATGGGCTTCTTCACACTGACAGTGAAGGTAACATGCAAAGCGGTCAGGAGAAGATGGGGTGTCTTTATTAAAGCATGCAGTGTGTCCTGCTGCAGTGTACCCAAGATGCAACACCAGGCTTTGGTTCATGCAACTCAAAAAGCACCAAATTAAAAAAAACAAAAACAAAAACAAAAAAAAATAAGACCACATTTATTTTAGCTTGCCAAGCTGCATTTCATGAGAATTATTATTTTTTATTTAAAATCAGAAATGCATACAACAGGGTTGCTATAACTTTCAAAAAAGAAAACAAAACGTGAAAACTGCATCAAAAAAAAAAGTTGCAAAGAATCTGAGTTGTAGATATTGAAATGGATATTTTTGATTACTTTTAATTTATGGAAATTGTATACTGTCTGCATGCTTAAACTCTTTATGTAGATATCATTTTGAGACATTTTCTTATTAAAAAGAAGAAGAAAAAAAAGAAAATACAAACAACTGTAAAACACCTTTCAGGGTTTCTGATGAGATTAGTGAACTGGACCTGACCGGACCGGACCGGACTGCTTTACTTCAGGCTTTTGGCCCCAAAAGCCGGAAATTATAAAACTCGAAATTATGTATGTTTTATTCTCAGTTTTTCTCCTTCGAATGTATAAATTTATTTTTAAAGAGTGTACGCTCTGTGGAATCCCGAAGTCAAATTTCTCCTCTGTGAACTCAATCTGGTCCAGTTGAACTGATTCTGGTTTTCACACGTTTACAGGTTCGGTGTTAGAAACGCAGAAGAAGACTCCGAGCTGTTTGGCATTTGAAAGATTAAAAACCTGAGCTGATCTCGGCGCAGGCCCCTCCAACAGGGGGACGTGCGGATTATTTATTGGAACGGTAAAATATGCGCAAACAGGGCGCGCTGTAAACAGTGCGCAGAGGCCAGGAGAGCTTTTATGGAATAGTCTCTTGTGCCCCAGCAGCAGGGAGACCCCTCCTGATTTATGGCTGTATTTAGATAAGACGCCGCCGTAAATGGTTCCCAAATAGCGCCAAGGTCACGTAATGTAATGGGATAATGTTTTTGGGGGTCGATGGCGATAAGATGATGTGTTTAAGGTGCGAGGGCATCCGGGGCGGAACAGCAGAGACAGGCCAAGAACAGCATTAATAATAATAATAATAATAATAATAATAATAATAATAATAATAATAATAATAATAATAATAATAATAATAATCGCTGTTGCAACAATGTTTTTATGACTACATGAAAGCGGGGTTTTTTAATATGGAAAATGTTGATCAATCAGGAATTTCGATCAAATAAAATAATCGTTATTTGGCCTTTTAAAACGTTTCCGCTTTTACTGAAAGTAGCGAAACAAAGAAATGAACCTGGCCTTAAACATAAACAGAACAAAATATGAATTGTACTTTTGAAGTACATTAAACTGAGCACGTGCGATATAATGTAAAACATAAATGTTAGTTTTTTGGGGGTTTTTTATTCACTTTTTTAAAAAATACATGCAAAATGGACTTCAGAGACGTTGATATGTGAAAACATACTCAGCAAAGTTCGTTTTAAATGTGAAAGTATCTTAAAGGACTTTGGTGACATGAGAAACGAAATTAATGGAAATAAATAAATATATAATTTTATATATAAATAAATAAATGAATGAATAAAAATATGAATTAATACACAAATCAAATAAATGAACCGATTATTGCCATGCAATGATTGTTGTTTCAAAATCAAATTAAAGCTGCTTATCGGAAATATCAGCTCCATGCATGACAAGAAATTCTTACATTAAAAAATTACAATATTAGTAATTCTGCTAATAACTTGTAAGAAAAAAAATTGTAATAAGAAATTAATATTTTGAGAAAATATCTTTTATGTATGAAAAGAGAGAACATTAAAAGAAAGAGAAAAAGGAACTCTGCCGTCCCTTAGCATCTATCTCAAGATGGCCCGTAAAATCATTTGCATCACAAAAGTCTCCGAATTAAAACATCAATGAAAAAAAGAAAAAGTAAGGAATCAAACTCATGCCTGTCCATGTAAACCTGGTGCCAGTGAAGCAGATGTTTTGGTTCCTGCGTTCTGGTGCCGTGATATTCTGGCACCATGTTCTTCCAAAGCTCTCCAAACTCTCCTCCCATTTCCTCCATTGGTTGCTTCTTTCTCACGCTCACATCCAGCTCATATAAACCTGGGGCCTCACACCTTCAGCTGGGTCAAATTTCTCCTGCAGGTCATTGCGTCCTCTTCGGGAAAAGAGGTTTCATCGGGACGGCGGCGCATCGCTGACGTTTCATCCCTGGAATACTTTTTAAGGCTGAGCTTTTTAAGAATCTTGGACCATGTGAAATAAATCGAGTCTTTGTTGTTTTAAGCTTGTAAATGAATTTAGGAGAATCCTCGACCAAGTTTCGAATGAGTTCTGCTCGCTGGTGATCCCCGAGCAGAGACGGTTTAGGGGGGAGGCGAACGAGCGCATTTTCTTCCCGGCACAGCATGAACCTCATCGGGGGCTACCAGCATCACCACCACCACCACCTGATGCACGAACCTTTCCCGTTCGTCCAGCGGTGCCACCAGGACGCGCCGTACTTCCAGAGCTGGGTGGTGAACCACGGGGAGGTGCCCGCGGACTTCCAGATCCAGGCGCCCTACACGCCGTCCGCGGAGCTGGGCGCGCATGGAGCAGCGCACGACGGCCGGCTCGAGGGGCTCCAGTCGGGGATGGGAAAGAGGAGAGCGTCCGGGCCGAAGAAGGAGCGCCGCAGGACGGAGAGCATCAACACGGCTTTCGCGGAGCTCCGGGAGTGTATTCCCAACGTCCCCGCAGACACCAAATTGTCCAAAATCAAAACTCTGCGTTTGGCGACCAGTTACATCGCGTATCTGATGGACGTGCTGGCCAAAGACTCCGGCGAGACGGAGGGTTTTAAGGCCGAGATTAAGAAATTTGAAACGCGGGATTTGAAAAGGAAACGAGAGCTGGTGAGTTTTGTTTGCTGGAGCCTCCTGGATTGTCATGATTTTGGAAATTATTCCCAATCCGAAGCATTTTTTCTGCTATGACTTACTTAGGCTGCCTGTAAGTCTGAGTCAGAGTGAAAACATCTGCAGAGATGGAAATGTTTACAGAGCGTCTGACTAACCTGGAAAATCTCCTGAAATATACGAAGCATTTTTGCCTTCAAAGTTTTTTGTCTGAGATTTTAACTGTTAAAAATTATGCACCATTTTTTTGTACATAATGTACAAATAAATAAATAAAAAATCAGAATTTGGCTAAATTAAAAACGTTAGGAAATCATTTCTAAAGCTATACTTTTAATACTTAAAATTTAAGAAAACAACAACAAAAACAAACAAACAAAGAAACAAAAAAAAAAACATGTAGAGTGTATTCTAAGCCGGTCAAATTATTTTTTTTCCTCTTATAAATAACCATACTCATTACAAAAAAAGAATAAAATAATCTAATCGTTCGAGTGCATCAGAGACATTTTAGGGATTATTTGAAACTAATTCCGAAACATGATGAGCAGAGTTCTTCACTTTCACTTTTAGATAAATAAAACGCCCGAATTACCACAAATCAGCTGTACAGCTTGTAAAGCTTCACTTTATTTTACATAAGACAAAATGTTATGGCTGCAAACTATCTTGACAGAATAGATATTGTTTGAAGTTGCTATTATTAGTCAGACTGTGACATTGTTAACAGGCTGGGATGAGGAAAGCTTCATTTGGATTATTTAGAGCAAGATGAGCTGCATTAACTCTAAACAGGAAAACACTGAACGTGCAAACAAAACCCAGCATGTGATGCAACGTTCAAACACACAGCTGGTTAAGAGCAGCTGAAGTGCACTGATAAAACAAACTGCTAGAATTTAATCAGTACATTTGGTCTCACTGTTTATAACAATTTTACTTTGGTAGATTTAACTCAGTAATTCAGAACTCATGTCAGTTTATCTGATTAAAACTCTTGAATTAATTAGGTAATTTGCCAACTCATTTTAAACATCTGATTACTTCAAATGAACTAAAATACTTACATTCTCACAAATATTCAGTTTTCTTCATTGTGTATCTATTGGAACAATTGGCAAACATCACACCTGATGATCAAAACTAGATTAGCAACAGCTCTGTAAGAGCCAGGAGGTTCAGACTTGGTTTTGGTGATAAAGCTGTTAAGCAGGATGGAAACTTAAATTCTTGCTCCAACAATGAAACTTTCTCAACCACTAACTGAATGACTGCTCTTGATTTTTTGTTTTTTATTCAGTAGATTTATTTGTTAAAACCCATGTAATCATGGCGTCTTTCTGTTCTGAGATTTTATTGATATTAACACACGACAGATTCAGTCGTCCTGATTTGTTAAAGGACCGACATCTTCAGTAAAATTATCATCTCTTATTTTTGTAAATTATGGTCTAATTTACAAAAATTGAATTAAACTGAGTGGTTCATCACTATTGAACAATTAGTATATATTTGTGAAATATTTATCACACCCTAGAAATCCTATTCATATTGTAGCTGAATATAAATAATTCACATTGTGCATATCAAACTCCACATGTATGCATATTCAGATATAAAACGTCTTTTAGCGTCTAACTGGACAATACACACATCAGGTCCGGTTCAGGCCAATCATGATGATCTGCATAACATTATTGGCTCCTCCCACTTTTTCATTAGTGACATATTTAATTACTTACAAACTTAATAAATAATTTGTGTGTTTGGTCATTTTTAAATGCATGATAACACATTTAAGTAATTATTTTATTAATTTATTTATTAATTTTGTTGATTATCATTCTGTAATTGCACAACAAATTCAAAAGTGCTATTGATCAATGTGTTGCAGTTAAAACTTTAAAATAAAAGCTAAACAAGTCAATGTTGATGGTTTATTCAATTGTGGCACTTTCAGAACTCCATAAACTTTAGCAGTGACAATGTGCTCTTACCCCATTGGTTGAATCCAGATTTAGCCTAAACAAAACACGTGAAGCCTGGTTTGTCCATTGGATCAACCCAGCCATCCTCCAACTTCATTAAGGGATCAAATCACATCTTTATTTCGGTATCTTTCAACTTATTTACAACAAAAACTAAATTAAATTCTCCTCGGTCGATGTATTTTATCATCATTCGGTCTATAAAAATGTCTACGTGTTTGTGAGTGCACATTAAGATGGAAAACAACTGTATCTGATCCATTTCTTTATTATTATTATTATTATTATTATTATTATTATTATTATTATTATTATTATTATTATTATTATTATTATTATTATTATTATTATTATTATTGTTAAATCGGGTGTTAAGGATTGAATCCACTTAATAGTAGTGGAAATAAACATGGTTGAAAGTTAACCAGGTTTTATCGAAATTGAAGAAAATACAGACGCTGAATCTGGTCTTGGTTTTATCATGTGATAAACTCCGACAACCTTTACGCATCCACGAACTTTTTTTTGCGTCATTTAGATTGAAAGTTACCTCGATTTTTCTGTGTGAATTGAATAAATATTTAATCAGGGAGCAGAGTCCAGATATATGTTCAACATTCATGGGATCCGAGGCCCATGGATTGGCCAGAAGTCATGCTGATCACTGAAGCATCCAGACAGAGACTCTGTGGTGAAGAGTCCAAATGACCAGAGAATGAGTCAGCCGCTCCTGCAGTTGGAGCTGCTGATGTTGACGATGATGTTGATGATGATGATGATGATGATGATGATGATGTTGATGATGATGATGATGATGATGATGATGATGATGATGATGATCTTGATGATAATGATGATGGCGCTGTTTTTGCCCCCACAGACCGACGGCCTGCAGGAGACTTTTGGAGGCGAAAAGAAGGTGAAGGGCCGGACCGGGTGGCCGCAGCAGGTCTGGGCCCTGGAGCTCAACCAGTGACTTCCTCAGAAAACACCCCCCCGCCCCCAACACACACACCCACACACACACACACACCCCTACACAGACACACACACACACTGACTTAGGCCGAACACACCGCTGTGCATGCGCAGTGAAGCGCTAAAAGGGGGAAAATCAAAGGGCAACGCGGATAGAAAGAGCTGCAGAGACGCTGCTCATTACTGTGTTCCCCACGATAATAATAATAATTATTATAATACGATAGAGATATTTGTGCTTTTTAATTGTTTCTCTTTAGGTCTTCACTTCAAAGCAGATGTTGCCAAACACATCAGTGTCCTTGTTCTCTGGTCTTCCATGGTTTTTGTCGTTTCCCTCATTGCGCAAAGTTTTCTGTTTTAAGTCTGTTGATTATTGTGATAATAACAAGGTAAGAAATGCGGTACATTTGACACTGTTTTTTCCACTGATTCGTAATCTTTCCTGTTGAAAATGTTTAACCAATCACAAACCGATTTCATCGTTTAAGACACTCGACGTTTTACTGTCGCTTCTCTTCAGTCGTTCCAGCGACCAGAAACTTCTCACTGATCCGCACTATTTCATTTCTAATTTAACCTGGACTTTATTTAAATTCGGAGATCCGTTTTGACTTGACGACACTAAAACAACATCACGTCACAGCTTTACTTTGCCTCTCCGCCGGTGTAAACTCTGCAGACTCTTGTTGTTGTTGAATTCATTGAATCTACCTCAGTACTGTAAATGTCACTGTCCAGAGGAACACGCCGAGAGTGAGACATTAACATTAACGCAGCTTTTCACTCCCGACATGTAAAAACGGTCAATGTAAAAAAAAAAAAAAAACAACAACAAAAAAACAAACAAACAAACAAACACGTGGAATAAAATGTTTATTATTGTGCGCAGTGTTAATGGAAATGTGTGTTAGATGTGAAAGTATATTTGGTTCCATAAATAAATGGATTATTTCATGACATTATACTTGTGATTCCAGTGGTTTTGTTCATATTAAGCGTCTGATTTTTCTGTAACAAAACTACATCATTTATATGGACTCAAAAGCTCTTCTGAAATTATTTTTCAAAGGCGAAAAATTAAAGTTTATGACCAGAACTCGTATGATAATTCGAGCTTTTTTTTTTTTTTTTAAGTAGATGCAAAAGTGAACATTTTATTTTTAATCCATGTTTTTGTTGTTGTAATTCTCACTTCTGGAATCTCCACTGGTTGAAAACAGTTGCCACACTAGCAATTTATTCAGCACTTTGATCAATTTATTTTTGGCTTTGATCTCTCAGGTGTTTGACTCCGAAAGCACTTTAAAATAATTGAAAATATTGAAAGTATTCTAAAGTATTTTGGATGTTCTGGTTTAGTTATGTATTTGTTTTACAGAAAATAAACACGCATGTTCTTACTGAGAAAGTTTCCAAACACTAAAAAGCTAAAATAAATCCTTTTATTTCAGAGGGAGCAGCAGTGACCCCTGGTGGCGGTTTTATGTCTCTGAAACTTTCCAGAGTCTGTATCCTACCACCTCTGGGAAACACGCTGCTGCCTTACCTTCAATAAAAATAGTAAATCGTTTTCTCAAAAGGCAAAAAAGATTTTCATCCACTTCCGATCCTCTTCTGTCAGGTGCTTCTGCCAGACACCGAGGCAATTCTGCAAGTTTCTATCTATGAAAGAAAGTCATTTCTTCTGTCATCCGTCACCTCACGCTCTCTCAGGATAAGAGGTTACATTGAAGTGAATCTCATTGTTAGGAGTTGCACTTTTCTTTTGGATTAATTTGAACTCTATTGACCTGACTGTGATTGTTGTTGGGTTTGAATTCAATCTTTGTTTCACTGTTAACTTTAGCGATAACTTTTGATGTGATCTGAAACTTATATTTTCATAACTTGGCAGTTTCTCAAGTTCAAAAACAAACCACTTCATTTCTAAATTCATTGATTGAACATTTAGGTCATTTTCAATAATCAAGTTAAAGTTGAATGTAAGGAATAATGCTTCTATTGCTTCTAATGCTTCTATTTTGATTTGATCATATGTCATACAGGTCAACTGATCAACAAATATTTAGTTAAATATAAGATATGTCCAAATTCAGGAACCGTGGGGAGAAAAAAGAACTGTGGTGACCCCTAAAGAGAAAAATCCAAAGAAGTCCAAATTCAGGGGCTGAATCTACTTGAGTTGTTGAGTTTTTAAAACCACAGGAATGGAACAACCACCTGCTAAAACCTTAGAGTCTCCTGAAAAAAACCTTAAAATCTCTTCTGCCTGTACAATACATTTATTAATAATATTAAGAGCAGTACGCAGTCATACTTAAATATGTTTTCTTCTCTTTTCTTTCTAATACAACAGTCAGTATAATGAGGCATGACCTGTGTGTTAATAAAGACGGATGTTATCTACATGACACTAAAAAACCTACAAGCCAAAAACAAAACAAAAGGTACAACAGAGTGGAAAACAAAAAAAAGCAAAGAAAAATGCAACAGAAATCCTAAAGTGAGTTCAGTCCACAAGAATAGCTGGAGGACGATGGTTCTGAAGAATATGAAGGTTCTGCTGTTTCACATTATTATTTCAGATGGAAATGAAATGTGAAGACTTTAAGAATTTCAGTAAGTTTGATGGAGGAATGGCATCAAGATAAACATTTCCCAGTAATCAATTCTTACAAACTGGGAGAAAAAGTTGGATAACATCTTCCTGTTATTCTTCTGCTCTGAAGTATTAAAAAAAATCAGATTTTATCCTGGTGGAGGTTTCAGTTCATTGTTAAATATGCAGGCATCTTCAGACAACACAGAGTAAAAGCAGAACTAAAAAGAAAATCGAACAGAAATAAATCAGTGTGTACCAACAAAAGAACGTTCTACTGAGGAAAAAGAGGCTCAAAGCGCTGCACCATTCCTCACCATCCAGTCACATTCCATTTGAAAACAGGCCAACAGAACTGCCTTCAGGTTTTTAAATTTCATTTTACACATTATTACCGATGATGTGATTAGATCTGAGTTGGAAAGCGAACCTGAGCCTGGACTGTGTCCTTTTTCAAACATTTCATTTGTTTCAACCCCTTCCCTTCCAGCCTCCCTCTGGATGTGTTAACAGTCTATTCACCAGCTAAAAAAAGAAAAAAAAATAATAACCAACAAAGTGTTTTTTGTTTCTCCTTTTTTAAACTCTTAAGGCAGCAATATTGTACATTTCATTCAGCTGAGTTATTTCGGATCAGATGCTGTTATTTTTTTTTACAGTATTACGACATAAATCTCCGCAGTGAGCCCTGCTTCTCCACACACTTTATGGAGAGGTGGGTGACGGCGAGAAAGCAAACTCGTCCTTCCTCCATGTCTCCTCCAGTTCTGTTTAACGTCCTGAGAGGACGGCAAAGGTTCTGGTCCGACAGTAGGAAGGGGACGGAGGCGGAGCTGCTGCTGATAGTGGTGTCCAGGTTTGGTGTGGAGCTGTTGCTGGGGTTACGGCAGAGGGAGGCTTAGTCCAGCGGTTTGCCTCCGTCGGCCTTCTGGTCCAGGCGGCTCTTGCTGCTCTTCACCATGTAGATGAAGTAGGTGAGCGTCTCCTTCTCGTTCACAGGTATATTCCTGAAGTGACGACTCACAGTCTGAGGGGAAACAGAAAATAGGCTAAAAATGAATCAAAAGGCGATAATTTGAGGTGAAGCTCCCGAGCTAGACTAGTGAAATATATCAAGCTGGGTCACATCACATTATCTTAACTTGGGCTGGGCGAGACAAACTTAGAAGATGACGATTAGCACAGCATTCATAGCGCCACCATCAATTGAGCAACAGTTTCCAAGCTTCTGCCTCTCAGAACAGTATTCCATTTCAACTCCTCCACTCATTTCCTTCAGACTAGCCAGCAGCAACTAGCAAACACCAGGTGGAACTGCCAATAAATATACTGAGCTCATTATATCAGCTACTTCTCACTGCAACGCTGGTAAAAATATTCTTAAATGGTTAACAGAGGGGTTGTTATGCTGTTATAGGTAGAAAGAGGTGTTTTTCAAGAGACAAAGGCCCAATTTAAAGGCGTTAAATTGCAGAGTAAGACTTCTTTTTTTGCCATATTTGATACACGGCATTTTTATTACAAGTTACGGTGACAGTTACTTGATTGTGGCTAGGAAAAGACATAATACAGTCCCTTTAAAACAGTGATTTATATCACCATCTGGAAAGTAACTGCATTTCATCATATTTTAAATGCAAATCATTTTTATTGATACCCTAACAGAACCAAAAGTGGAGAAAAAAGTCAGAAGAACATTTGTGATCATACCATCAGCTTTTCTTTTTTGTTATTTATTTATCATAAAAAAGATAAGCCAAAATTCTTATCACAGTAAGAGACTTTTCACAATAAATGATAAATGTCCATCTGTTCCGGTAAATACTTAATCCTCTCCTCTGCCTTATTAAATTTCTGCTAAGGATGGAAATCAAATAGACCTTATTTGACTTTATTATTACAGTTTAAGCAGTTTTGGAAATTTCTTCTGGACCCAGCAAATAGTTTGTGGGTAAACAATTTTCACCGCTCAAAACGGGAAGTAGTTAGTAAAAGGCTGATGAACCTTTTCTCTCCATCCAACCATTTCAAACACATTTATATGTATCTCAAAATATGAATTTCCACATCACTAACACATCACAGAAACTTATAGAGCACCCCCTGCTGAATTATGTGGAAAATCACTACAAATGGCTTACCTATCCAGAATAAATGAAGGCCTGTTTTCTATCCATAAACTGAAACTGACACCAAACTTCAGAAGCCAGCGGAAAATTTATTTAAAGTCGTTGGACATGTTAATGCAGTTCCAACTGAGTTTGAGCACAGCGCACCTTTTGTTAAATCAAGACAAAACTTTTATCATGCATGATAAAACTCAAAAACACAATAACAAGACACATTTAAGACAAACTGAAGGAGCTGACCAGTCTGTAAAAGAGTTTGCAACTGAATACAGAAGCTGATGTGTAACTTGCTATTAATAGAAGGCTGTGTGTGTGTGTGTGTGTGTGTGGTGTGTGTGTGTGTGTGTGTGTGTGTGTGTGTGTTTACCTCTGCCAGCTGAGCCTTGTTGAGGCCGGGTCTCGTCTGCAGCTTGTAGTGTCGCTTGTAGCGTCTCAGTGTGTTCACCTGCAGCTGGAACAGATCCACCTGAAAACACCAACACAGCGATGAGAACGTTTTACGTCGAGAAGCAGAAGACGATCTTTTGATCTGTTCTTTGACCAATGGCAACTTTGAGGAAGTGAACAATTGGCTTTATAATAAAAACATTTAGGAAAACTGTGTGAAGAAAATTCCCATGACTTCAGATGTTTTGGTCATGCAGCTGTGAAACAAACTCGAATCATCACCCTCCCACCACCTTGCCTCACATGTGGTTTGAGGTGTTTGATTGCCACCTGACATGATGCTGTCAATTGCTACTGAACATCTCTATGCTGGTCTCATCTGTCCAAAGAAATGTGACAGATAAAACTTTGCAAATCTAAATCTTGCTGGATCTCCTTCAACCCTGCATTAAATCAAATCTTAGAATATTAACGAGTTTACTTTTGAAACAACATTTAAACACGCCAGCTGGAGTGAAAGCGTTGACTAGTTGCAGGAGTCCGCTTTAACCCGCTTACCTCAGGGACTTCCACATCGTGGTCAGGGGATTCCCCTCCATCATCACTCGTCTTCCTCTTTCTCTTGTTGCGAACGCTCTGGATGAAGTTCTTGTGAAAGTCACAGATGTAGAGATGCCGCACCTGGAAGGTAGGAAAACAACTCCAGTTCAACCATTGGAAATGAAAGCATATGTCTGCCACCATTATGGCATCATGCTATAGCAAAGATTTTAAAAAGCCATGATTTTGAGAATACTGAAGTTCCAGAAAAAGTCACCTTTTCAGCTTTTTGAAAATACTTTTATTCAC